ACTAATATACCGAGACTGATTGGAATCATTGAAAAAGAAGCTACTAGGATAGATAATCGTTGAACAGATTGTATTTTAATTTTTGAACGGATGATGTATAATAAAATTAATTCAAACAATCGATTCAATCATTTGAATATCGCCCGAACTAGTCGAACTTCAAGACTTTATGAAACTTCATCATATATTAAAAGCTGTGAGCACAATTTCTGTGAGATCAACACGATGTAATTATTCTTCTTAATTACAGAGAGATTGTTTTATCGTATAATACATTTCTTCATCATCCTTTTACTTAATTCTTAAGAAATGCAATACGAAAGTAATTCCAATTAGGTGTTATTTATATTCGTTCTGTAATGAGTCGTTGCTAAGATATCTGAGAGGGGAGAGTAGCCTTTAATAATCAACTATAAAATTTGATTGGAAATTAACGATCAGTTGACGTTTTTTTTTTTGTTCTTTCCTCAAAATTTTCTTCCGCAAGGAATTGCCTTAATATGCAATTCACAAGACTTGAATATTAACTTCTATATTTTTTTTTGTCTATCTTAGATTGAACGAAGTATGGTCGATGCTCTTTATACTTTTGCTCGTTATGTTTATGATTGTGGTGATTATTCTCGAGCAGCTACAAATTTAGGTCTCTATCGTGCTCTTGTAAGTATCTAATAAAATTTCATATGTAATAATTTTTATATTAAAAAAAACAAAAAAAATTTAAGGTACCAAGTACCGATAAAAATATAATGTCATGTCTATGGGGTAAATTAGCATCAGAAATTTTAATGCAACGTTGGGATGATGCATATGATGATTTAAATCAATTAAAAGAAGCAATTGAAACAAGTAGTTCTCGTTCACCATTAGATTTATTACATCAACGTACATGGTTTATTCATTGGTCATTATTTGTTTATTTTAATCATCCAAAAGGACGTGATGATCTTGTTCAATTATTTCTTGGTTCAACAACATCAACAGCAAATCAAACAAATGCTTATTTAAATACATTACAAACAGCATCACCACATTTATTACGTTATTTAGCTGCAGCTGTTATTATTAATCCAAGAAAAAAAAATGAACGAACATTAAAAGAACTTGTTAAAGTTATTCAACAGGTTGTTTTTTTGAAATCTATTCAAAAAATAAATAAAAAAATTTGTTTTTTTTTCGATTTAGGAATCATATGCATTTCGTGATCCAATAACTGAATTTCTTGAATGTCTTTATGTTCATTTTGATTTTGATGGTGCACAACAAAAATTACGTGATTGTACAGCTGTACTTAATAATGATTTTTTTCTTATTGGTTGTACTGATGAATTTATGGAAAATGCTCGTTTACTTATATTCGAAACATTTTGTCGTATTCATCATTGTATTACAATTGAGTAATATTACATTTTCGAATTATTCAATTAATGTATTTATTTTTTTTTTTAGTATGTTAGCAGAAAAATTAAATATGGGTACAGAAGAAGCTGAACGATGGATTGTTAATTTAATACGTAATGCAAGTTTAGATGCAAAAATTGATTCACAAAAAGGCATTGTTGTTATGGGTTCACAAGCATTATCACCATATCAAATAATTATTGAAAAAACAAAGAATTTATTTAATAGAACACAATTATTAACACAAAATAGTGAAAAAAAACGAGATACAAATGTAAATTAAACGGAGAAAAAAAAAATTTTTTTTTTGTAGCTTGTTTTTGTTTTTTTAATTTTAAGTTTCTTTTTTTTTTGATATATTTTAGGCTAATTGGAGTAATCATCAAACACAACAACCACAAGC